TCTTCCACAAAATTTCTCCTCTATTATGATCAGTTCCACCCCTTTTGATCACCTTCCAAGACATGTCTATTTATAATGCAAGTGACTGCACATTCATTAAATGGTTCCTGCGGTCAGCCAGTCTGATGCATCTTATGTCATTTGCTCTAATAATGTCACTTTAACTTGTACTTGGTTGCTGATTAGACCATGTGATGGTTAAAGTGTTCTTAGCCAACAGTAAACTGATAATTTGTGTACATATCTGGGCAAAATTAGAGACTTTAAGACTTTCATAATAATTACCTTTATTTGGCCAAGTATGTTACACACACAAGGAATTTGTTTCTGGTACAGAACTGAGGCAGCCATCTGTGGCGCCAACTCACACCGATGGCTCTAACCATCAGGGGCAATTTGGGGGTTCAGTGTCTTACCCAAGGACACTTAGACATGTGGACTGCAGGCACCGAGATTCAAACCTCCAATGCTCTGGTTGGGAGACAACCGCTCTACCCACTGAACCACAGTCACCACCATAAATGAACCCTCATTGTACACACAAGTAGTCATATGATCCATTGTTTACACAAAAATGTTGACTATAGCAGCTTTAAGTTTTTGTTTGATCACATGTTAATACTTTGACAAACTGGATTTTCTCTGTCAGATGCGTTGAAGAATTTAAAAGCAGCTAATGATCCTTTCCAAAATGTAATCCCCATGTCTTGTGGGCGTTTTTCTAGTTTAATTTTGGCTGTGCTTCCTCCAAAGTCAGCCTCATCCATCTCAGGGAAATTCTCACGAAGGGGACATGTCTCCTCCTCCCGCCATCACCTTCCAATACAAGTGAATGAGTGAGAGGCGAGGGTTACCCTGTCCTCATCTCTCACTTCAGCTATGGAAAAATTGTGAGAAAATGGGCCACTGGGCACAGACAACTAACCCCCCACCCCCACCCCAAAAACCACATACATACACACACAGACAGAGGGGAGCAGGAGATTGAAAGACTCAAATTTACTACAAATTGTATGCTATTTGTAGTCTTTTTTTAATCAAAGCTCAGCTTTTGACTTTCAAACACAAAATATTAACAGCCACTTTATGCAGAGACTCTGGCCCAGAGACCCCTGACTTCTCCGGCCCTTTGACCTTTGCTTCGGTAGGGCTGTTCAATAATCCATCCATGACTTTAGCCAGTCTTGATGACAGTATTGTCAAACAGCACTCTTCAGGAAACTGCTGACAATCCAGCAGAAAATAGAGTTTTGTTCCACAATAAATTATACACCATGTGCAAAAGCGGTCACTTGCATTATTAATTGTGAAAAGTTGCATTTATTGGCTAGAAAAGGCTCACAAAACCAGTTCAGAATAATGATCTGCACACAAGGCAGTGGACACAACACAAGAAATTCACTTGATATGCCTGGGAATGTGATTAATTTGGACAAGTTCTGCACCATGCTTCATTGTGAACATCTGAAAAGCAGCAATGGCTTCATTTTAAAGCATCTAAAATGACAAATGAGTTTACTCAATTGTCCAGGAGACAAAGATTCCCTCTCCCCTGACAACCCCACAGGGTCACTTGCAGAGAGGGTAAGAGAGCTGTTTGTTACATATCAAATTACTTGTTCCAAATGAGAAATAACTCCATTAGCTAGCTAACTTAGATGAGTGAGATAGAGTGAGAGATTCTCTCTATGCATACAGATAGTACTGTCTATGCCAGAATGTCCTTTTTTCCTGGCATGCTAACACATACTTGAAATTGCAAGTGAGGACAGAAAGGAGCCTGGCAGTCCAGAGGGTAAACCTTTCAGAAAAGCTCTCAGGTTTTCCAAGGGCCTTGGCACTGCTCTGCAGTGTTTGACTCTCAGAAAGATGTGCACTGAGTTTAGTGACGTATTTATCTGGATGTACATTTTGAAAGCTCTGGAAATCTAATTCAGGTAGATGAGTAAAGAAGATAATGTGTATTTTTGTGCATTTTTCTGAGAGACAAGTACCTAATTCAGATAATGAAAGCAGACAGTGAGTAGGCAAAGAATGCTCTGGTGTGGTGTAGCTTTATCCCAGACAATAGACCGAAATTAGCCTTTTAGCCTCAGCCTGGGCTTGAGGCCAGACCCATGATTCTTTAGAAAGCACTAGAGGACAGTTGACCTTGCCATCTCCTGTGCTTCCTCTCAGAAGAGAGGAAAGGGTGCAGCAGAGCAACAAACTTCTGAAATTGAACTGAGTCTTACTGCGAGTGTTGTATGTGTCAGTGTGTTTACATTTTAAACTCAAAGAATTTAACGGAAGTGGATTTTTCCAGTTCAGTTTTTCAGTTCAGCACAAAGAAGCACCGTGTTGTCACATAGTGTGATTATTCTGCAGCTTCCTCAATGTAAGCAGGATTGTGTTAGGTATTTTTAGTCAGATAGAAATTGGATAGATACTTTATGTATTAGAAATGTTTAGTGGAGATAGGATGTCTAGTTAGACTGTTAAATGCTTAGGCATGCTTATGAGTTTCTACAGGGTACATCTGGTCAAGGATAACTAGAGAGAAGAGTTGATGACTGTCAGCAGACAGGATGTATAATATTATTATTATGACGTGTATAACTGTAGCCTTAGCCATAATATGTTCTTATGTTTAAGTCACGACATGTTACTAGAAGTCTGTGAGAATGTTTTTAGCTACACACCACTTAACCAACAGACACACACACACATTGATTTGCTTCATGTTTTGACTACTGCTATGACCAGCTGCAAAGCTGGTAACAGAGACGTCTCGGTTGACGTTTCTGTGTAGTATGGGGCTAGCCCAACCGAAGGGATATAATGTATAGGCCTGGTGGGTTCAGGGTCTTTCATCTTACATCTGCCTGCGTGCATGTTGGAGGTGCAAGATATCTGAGCGTGTAATGTTAATTTTACCTGTGATCCTTTGAATAAATCAGCACTGTTTTGAAGTTACTTGGACTGTCTCGTCTCTCAGAGTTAGCAATGGTAAGAAGAACCACAGTCCTTCAATTGTTAATAAACCTTAGCCTTTATAAGGCAAAGATGTCCTGTATCAGCACTCTGCAAAGCCACTGGATGTGCCAAATGGATGATTCCCTGGTCTCATTCACATGGCTGAGTAACTACTAACTATTGGAGTGACCTTTGACCTACACTTACATATTGACACTAATGTGTGCACAAATGCACAGTTTCAGCAATAGCTAGAAATGTGGTAAAATGTAAAACTTCTATCAGTTTTCACAATCAGCTATATAAGACCAAATAGACTGACAGATTATTGTATGAGAGGGAAATCTACTGGCTTTAAATTAAAAGGAATTAATCAGAAAAGAGTTTTTTTTTACAATGTGCCGAGACATGTTGATTTTAAAGATGTTCTTTTGGAAAATTCTTGGAAGAACTTTTGGCTGATATGTAGTACAAATAAATGAGCCTTATTGGCCCAAAATAACCCAGTTTATTTCAGTAAAGTCACAGTAATTTGGACAGAGACCTTTGGATCACGTCTCTCGAAGAATGTGCTAAACAGAGTTTTTGTTCTTTAGCAAATGCTTCAGACGGAGGTTCAGACAAGATCTAGTGGCCTTTTCTATAGCTCAAATCCAAGACTAAGTCTAGACTACATGTACATGCCGACTCCACACACACTCTTAAACACACCCGACACACTGGCTGCACATTTCACCTATCTATTGGAACAGAACTCAACTAGTAATTTGCCCTTTTCCTAACCTTTAATGCGCTCAACAGACATGTTCTTTCTAGCAGGGTTGTACTTCATTTTCATGTATAACAGTTGTTCACACCTGGACTGTATTACCAGAATGGTGTTTCATTCTCAGGATGAAAGAAGGATTTTAACTGATTCCTTAGAAAGCAAATATCAAAGAAGATCACCCTGTTGTTGTTCAAGAACAGATATTAACAAGAATAATGACATGTGTCATCTTGTTAGAAGACATCCTTCCATCCATCCATTATCTATATTGATCATCCTGAAGGGGGTCACAGGGGGTTGGAACGAATCCCAGCTATCCCTGGGCAAGAGGTGGAGTACACCCTGGATAGGTTGCCAGTCTATCACAGGGCTGACACTTAAGGTGGAGACACACCAAGCACAAATGAAAGAACTAGCAGCGACAAAGGCCAACTTTTGCGTTACCTCACATCGGCTTTGCCTGGGCCAGTTGGTTTGAAAAAGTGACACTTGAACACACCACACAGACTACAGCCACCGGCCGACTAGCACATACATTCTGGGCCTGCGTGACAGAAATAACTCCCCTTACCACCAGTTGGTGGTATCTGTGGTCACCATTCAAAAAGGGAAAGACAGAGAGCTAGAATGTGGAAGTATAAGCTATAAACAAAACACCTCTCATTCAAAACAGCTGCTGTTTATACCTGTTTTTA